TTACAGGGTATATGCAGGAATCCTGAAGTCAAATGTAAGACGTTTGAAGACCTTTTTTAAGACCTCATCGCCACTTGGAGTTTTAACCGGTTACCTTGGCGACACACTTTACCTCACATTGACTATATACAGTATTGATTGTCCTTCCTCCTTATCTTCCAACCATTTGGACGCAAACTTGCATTTCCCCATAACGATGTTTCTACGGGCTACCAGATCTGCTCGGGGTCCGTCGCTTACCAATGACGTCACGCGTTGTGATTGGCTGTACGGTAATCGCACGCTGATTGGTGTAACTAGGGGCGCTGACTAGCGTATACCGGGGGTCTGATCAAAGACGAATGAGTGTAGGTAGAGAGACTGAGAGAAGGAGAAGAATAAGAGAAATCGGGGTTGTTAAAATGGTGACCGAGGCTTCTGCTAAGTACTTCTGACAGGAAAAGAGGGATGGAGGAGGGATCAGAGCTCAGGAGACTAGCAGGAGACTGATGTCCAAGAATGAGTCAAAGCAGGACTTGTGCAACCTGGCAAAGTTCAAGAAGTCAGAAGATTGCTCTTTGTAATCTTATCCAGTTATACTGTATATGCAGTTCACCTGTTAATACATATTTAAAAAGGATTTGGCTTTGTCAATATAAATTATTTCCCTTATATCTTATACTATCTTATTTAGAGGTTCGAAAGGGTAAAATTGCCAATTTAGAAATACAAAACGATGTAGGTTAGAGACGAGTTAAATAAGCTCATATTTGAATTCGCCATAAAAAAACACATAATTTAGACACCCCCATGTTAGGATTTCCTTCAGATTCATGTTAGCACCTGAGTATGACCCGCCCTATTGGTGTATGATCAAATTTGATTTCTAATTTTAAATAAAAGGAAATCAATTCACAGTTATTGTCAAACAGGAGTTAAATCAATTTCTCGCTTATTGTAAGAATGTATTTCACCATATTCATATTTAAATGATCGGGAAATTACGTTGTAATGATAATAAATCATCTCCCTCATTCAGATTAATGTCGATTGTTATTTTTTGAATGTTAAAAAATAACAATTCGTTGCAGTGTCTTAAATGTAATTTAGGTTAACTTCCTGTTTTATTTAGAATTATTATTATTACCTCTTGGGTTGCCGTACAGCCAATGCGTGACGTCATTGGTAAGCGTAACGGACCCCGAGCAGATGGTTATGGCTAGAAATGATCCGTCTAGTGTGAAACTCTCGCGAGAGTTTGCAAGTCACGTGGCTGAATGTTTACGTTTGGCAGGCAGCCTTTCAGTTACGACCGTTAACATCATTGGGCCACAGCAAATTATGGTAACTATCTATTAATTATGTCAATGACAGGGGGTGTGGTTGTTGAAATATGGTGTTAGCGGTCTTACTGTTCAAAGAAGAATGACAACACTGTAGATCACCAACACTATGGTTTATTTTTTATTCACAGGCAAGTCAACGTTGTCGCAGTAAAAGTCCCAAGATAGCTCCTGGTGCAATAGAATGTTCCCTTCATGCATTCATGTGTATGTTGCATCATGTTACTGCTGTAGATGTGTTTCCGAGTCGCTCCAACGAGAATTTTACTGACGAAAAAATGTACTTTACCCACTCATTTATATATGATATGTGTTGCCTTGTTTTTCTGGATTTCTTTCATAGCATATTTCTCTATTTCATAGCCAGATTTATTTAATTCATAGCCATACAAACATGCAGAGATGTTCCCACATGTCTTTTAACATCTGTCCCCCAACATCAATCACATGCTTTTATTACATGGCAATACTTATGTTGATGGATAATGTTGTATAATGGTTTTATAATTGTTTTGCTATGACGTTTGTCTTTGCTTTTGTTTGCTTTGTACAGCCCTTCGAGGCACTTCTTGTGATTAGGGGCTATGATAAATGTTGATTTGATTTGATTTGAAGATATCTTGTCTCCTGGCCCAACTAATCAGTCACAACACGTCTGGTCTTAAGGTGTTTTATCTCTTTTGTGATGCTTACCTGAGGGTGCCGTTCTCTCCTTTATCCAGGCTGGTGAAGCGGCTGTACAGACGGGTGATCTGACTGTGGGAGACTGAGGGTGGGACACAAGAGAGAGAGGGGGGAGTTAACCACCATAAGACCACCAGATAACAGGTTTCCAATGCTTCAGGCAAAACTACTTTCACCTAAATACTGGAGCTCATTACTCTCCAAGTAGTCTTTTTAAGAGTTTTTATGTGTGCAATATCACCCAGATACACAGCCAAGAGTCATGCAATACATGCAACTAACGCAACTTCCTTTTCAGTACACTAGTTAACGATTTTAATGAAATTGTTTCAGCTGTTTAGACAGATAAAGAGAGAGAGAGAGAGAGAGAGATAGAGAGACAGACAGACAGACAAACAGACAGACAGACAGATAGGTCGAATATAAATTAACATTAGCAGCAAGTATATACATATTCACAAAACAACTAGAGCACCTAAATAACAAACAATATAACAATAATATTGAATAAATGGAATACTCTACAATATAAAATCTCACTAAGCTGCAGAAATATACTACAGATTGTGTCACCTTTATGTCACAATGTGTGTATAAAGCTAATGTCTCCTTCTTAACCCCCAGATAACAGGCTTTCAGAGATTCAGGTAAAACCACTTTTCACCTAAATACTGGAGCTCATTACACAAGAGTGTGCAATGACAATGAGATCCAAGAGTCAGGCGATAAATGAAATTAGGGCAACTTCCTTTTTAGTATTCACTCATTTGTATATGTATATATTGTTTTCAGGTGGTCCCTTGAGTATTTAAAATGTAACTTAAAACCGTAATTTATTCTTCTAACTCAAATGTAAAGTTAATTCAATGTTTACATTATAGGAGGTTGATAGGCTTGGACGTACACTGCCTTCTATTCTGTATTTATTTATATTGTGTATTCAATACATGTACTATATAGATATATGTCCTTTATTATCGATACAAATTCACTGTTTTGCGTATTTTGTTTACTCTGCTCATAAGATATCTTTATAGTTTTTTCCCAAATTGTTATGTGATTTTACTGAAAGAATGTTAGCTTTTAAAAGCAACACACATAAAGCTAATGTCACACAGAAATAAACTTACAGCCTGTCTCCTTCTTTATCTCTTCAATCTCCTCTTCTCGCAGTAACGTAGAGGCTCTGGATCCCATGGTGAAAGTTAAAAGGAGTCTTTTAATCCAAAAATCAATCCAGCTGTAGAAGAATCTCAACCCGGATTTATGTTAGAGTTAGCAAACAAGCTAACGACGCTAACAGCCGTTCGAGCTTCAGTTGGAATCCAAACGGCTGTTTTCTGTCCTCGAGACGCTGTTTCTTTGCGATATTTAGTTTTTTATAGTAAATATTTTCAATAGTCTGTCGTGTATTGATACTACGAGGAGGGGTTTTGAGTTTCAACCGGGTTTTCTTCCTGTTTTACAGGCTTTATACATCCATGGTGGGCTGGAACTAAAGGTTGGCCGCCTCCCCTGTCATAGCAGGGTCCGCGGGGAAAGGTAGCGGATTCTTCTGCCTGGTTGAAATGTGATGCTTAAGTCTTGTTTCCAACTATATTTCAATCTAAAATAAAGCAAATAATTACGGTTTCAAAATAATACAACAAGAAAAGGATATAAAATGTTATTAATATCCGCCAGGCAAGTTAAAGAAAACTTAGCTGAACGAGGGGGATTCTGCTCAGGTGACCGTTTCAACCGTAACAGCACAGCCTTCACACACAACTGCTTTTGATGATTATTTCGTTCCTCTTCAAATAAATACATAACTACGCCTATTAAATAACTTAATAACTACATTGGGGATTAAATATATACATATGTGGAAATATAAAGCTGCACAATACTTAGATGTAAGTCAGAAATGTGCCACTAGATGGCGCACTTTCATAATTTCACATGGAGTCACTCAGAGTGATCTGGTAATGGTGAGATATTTCAAATGAAAAAAACCTTTATTATTAATTAAATATTACTCTTATTTATTATGTATTCATCTTCTCACAATAGTGCAATAGGGAACACTAGGCAGGCAGGTTATTATGAGACGATAGGCCTAAGAGCAAAGACATCTAAATCAACCCCAGCAAGGCACAGATACTTTGTGGTGGTATTTTCTCTTTTTGAGCGCTTTGTGGTCGTTTTGTGTCACTTTGTATTTGCTTTGCAACATTTCATAGTAGTTGTGAGTCTCCTTGTGTTCCCTGCAGCTGTTTTGCATTACATTTTATTTGTTTGGTTCTCTTAATGGTCTAGTTTCTTCATGTTTTGTGTCTCTTTCTGGATATTTTGTGGTACTTTGTGATGTATTTTCCTGCTTTTTTTGTTGGATGGTTTGTGTAATCCGTTAACAATACACGACAATTTCAAATATGGAAACTTCGTATTATATATTTTCATATTATTACACGGCTTAGTTGTATACTCGATTCTGATTGGTCAATTCAGATTCAGAACATGTGACACGCTAATCCAGTACTACAGACCGCTGTCAAGGACTATAATGACCGTTAATAATTTTGCTAAGTGTAAATATTCTGTGTCATTTCAAACTGTGTGTATTCTTTCTGATTTTGAATGTAAAAAATCCCATTAAATTAGCAGAATTTAAAAAAGCCCTCATACCGTATAAAAGGGAAGGGATAAATGGGATTTAATTTAATTCCCTCATGGATCTGACATTAAATAAGATTAAAAATCCCTCCCACAGAAAGATACACCCTGTTAAATACACCAAGAAGCTCTCAGGGATCCACAATCCTCATAAAGCTGACGGTGGTTAACGGTAGAGAGGATGTGTAACTGTCTACGGTACAATCCCTTTTCTGAAGACTAGCTACTGCTAACTTGTGACGAATACCACAATGTGAAAATACTAGCGTAATTATAATATGGGATAATAACAGCAGGCATTGCATGTCCACAGAGGGAAAGAAATAGTGGAAATATGAGTGACTTTTTTGCAGTTTTTAGATTTTATTTCAAGATCCTAGTGTTTACAGCAGTCTCTTGAGGTTCAGCAAACATTCAGTGTTCAGCGAGACGTCCTCCACATGCCAATCATCCATTCATTTCAGGCCGTCCATACCACATACAAAGATAAGAGCAAATGAACATGTTATAATTGTCTATCTGATGTCCTAAAAAGGGTAAAATATCCACAATATTGTTCACGGTGATCAGTGAACTCATCATAAAACAGGTTTGAAAGTTCTCAGCAAAATCAAAAATACATCACAAGGTAAAAACAGAATAAGAAGTGTTGATTTGTAAAGCAGTGCAAAGAGAAGCTCGTCTCCTCTGGTTCTCCCACATGAAGGAGAAGAAGCCGTTTAAAAAGGATTTTTTAGAAACCCCTTTGCTTGCTGAAATGACACACAGAGTCCATGGCGAGCAGGATGCTGCAGAGAGACAAAAAAACACAATGTCAGTATCGAATATTCAACTTTTAACGACCAATAATTCAATATTCCTTTGCCTTCTTAAGGGGAGACACTGCAGGTGAATAGGGACATTTTTTTCTTTGCTAACAGATAGCATGAAACTTCCCCACTTCCTTTCTGACATTAAGACAATCATTTAATATATTACAAGTTTTCTGACAGGTTATATTTAAATACGCAAATTAGGCATTATGTAGTGATTACTTCTGGTGAATATAGGAGAAATCTATGGGCAAATAATTGTTAAATAATCGCCTGAATGTTGATTTTGCATGTGGTATCTCCTCTTCAAATGTTGTGTATCTTTACATAGAAGAACATACCTCTTACCCTCTACTGGTGACTCAAAAAGAAAAGTATAAAACCAACAATAAAGTGTTTTATTTTGGTACCTGTCTGCAGGGTATCCTCTCTCGCACAGGTTCACCAGAGCGTACAGGTGTCTCAGAGCGTACTCAAACTGAAACACAGGAACACATCACATGAGGAAACAAATGGACATTTCAATATTAAAGAACACAGTTTATTTCCCCCTGGTTGTGGCATTCAAAATGTTAAATATTTCCAGTGAAAAGGGAGAGGAAACATCTTTCTTAATGTACAGATGTGGGAAAGTACGCAGGGAAATATTTAAATTAAGGTACGATCAATGTAGGGTAAAAGAAAATAAGAATAAAACTTCCTTCCTTTTAATACTTTCTATATCTGGACTGCAGGGGTACTCTCAGGTCACTGTTTCTCACCCTGAATGTTAATCTTGTTTATTTGTGACACTTATGCAGAAGTAAAACCATATTAATAACTGAAACTTCTTCATAAATCGGTCTACTGTGTCGTGATACAGAAATAAATGCAAAACTACTGGTCTAGTTTTTGTAGATAATTTTTTTTTTTATAATCCGATTCAGTTGGAAAGTTCCCTCAAAAAATACCCTTGTTTCTTTCTGTTGCTGTTTTGTTAATTTTAACTTAAAAGGGTAACTGTGCTCCGGATATGTGAAAAACACTTTGATATTTAGTATTAAAAGAGACATTTAAGACTAATTGTTATTCTAGATTTGGTCAAAGTAAACCATAATTACTTTGAGCAATATCAATTATATTGAATATAAAAATTCAGCCAAAATATCCAATCTTCTTGTTGTCATTGTTTACTCCAATGTTTTCCTAATACAGAAAATACAGTATTTAATACTTAGTCTACTCTTTTGGTGATTTTTCTGTTTTTAAAACTACATTTGATAAAAAACTGGTTGGAAGTTGGAGCCATAGTCCTTAGAATATAGAAAAAACAGTCTATAATCTTATCTTATTTTTCTAAACTACATTTTACTCTCGTCTTTAAATCTGTGCCGTCTCCTAACTATGTTAAAAACCTTGTTAAAGAACATTTTGAGTCAGTTTTTATTAAATAATTAGTCATTGTTATTTTATATTTTATATTGTTGCATCGACTCAGTTGTCTCGTGTCTTGTCTGTCAGAGAGAAACTATTATTTATTTTTATTTGTATCATCATACATTTGACCTCCTTGTGTCTCTTAACCTGATCAAATGTTATATGTTGCTGCATGTACCTTTTAAAGTTCTTAAAAAATAATCTGAGGGGAACTTGTTGTTGTTTATTTTTAACTTGTGATGTGTCATTTTGTAAAGCACTTTGAGCTGCATGTGTTGTATGAAAAGTGCAATATAAATAAAGCTGTATTATTATCCTTATCATTGCAATGTCTGCTGTTGAACTGCTGACCTTTGCGATCTTGCCCATCTCATATATGTCCGCCTTCTCCTCCTCAAACTCAGTGTAGGCCGCCTCGATGGCAGCGATGGCGGCGTCGTGGCCGGGGGCCGGGCCCATGGCAGGGAGCCCACGGGGGTAGTAGAACCTGGGAATGTTGATGGCAGGGGGCGGCGCGGGGGGGGTGGCGATCACCGGAGCCGG